AGAAATGGCGAATCAAGGAGGAGGTTACATATTCCGCATACACCCTCACAGGATTTATTAGCTTCTGGCGTGCATTTCAAAACGACTGGCGAAAAAGACAGTTACAGCTGCGGTTGCCATAATTCAATAAGCCTTTAAAGGAGATATGCTTGAGAATGACAATTCGAGAACAAAAAAGAACTACCGAGGTAAGGGGGGGGCACTATCCTTACGAATCTTTACATAAAGTTTGATGAAACTATTTAATCAAGACGTTTACAATAAACATGTGATTAAGAATTATAAGTATGAGAAATTTTTGATATCTGTATCTGACATAAAAAATTAAAATATCTTGCAACCCATGCCTGATCTGATAATAAATTTTTACGAAACCCAACAATTTTTTAGAACAGGCGAATTCCAGATATCGAAAATAAGGATAAAAGTATGCTAGCTGCAGATAGACAGAAACGTCGAATTCATGTTATCGTTTGCTTAATGTTTTACAGAGAAATACAACGAGCAATCAACAAGTTTTTCATCGATTTTCGGTGCTACACGCTCATAAGCAACTTAGAATGGCGGTTCCGCACCAGGAATGATTAATCTGCTAATTTTAAACGAATGTTATGGCAAAATCTATTTCTTAAATTGTATCAATTTATTAAGATAAATTACTCTTCACAACGTACGCACACTAACATAACTAATTAAACGAGACTAATTCCACATAACGGCGCATATGTTAGTACTCTTTAATGATTATCTCAATATTTATACTTTATAGAATCTAACTGGAGTCTGCCATTTTAACTAGAGCAGCAAGCAACCTCAACAGAGGACACCTAAATCTATTCTTTTTTAAATCTTTAACTAATTCTGTGCACAACCAGTGAAGAATATGAAACTATCAATACCAATGCTCAGAAGATCTGTTCATATGAACCTTCCTGTGAGTGCATATTTTTGCATGGCGTTGACGTCAGAAGTTCAAGTAAAAATATACGAATGAAACTAAACACAAATAAACTAATAGAAAACAAGAAACGAAACAAAAATCGACTAAATTGATGAGAAATTATGAAGTATGAAAGATACGGATTATACTTGGCATTTTACTCTGGAATAATAAACTCGAATCGATAACTGCAGTCATCTAGTGCTAGTAAAATTTGCTTGTCTCGGCGAATGACAAGGAACAACAACCGAACAATGACGAATTTAATGACGCATGCTGTTTAACATAGGCTAACACTATTTGTATATTCCTAACGGTTGTTGATTGTTTACTTACAATAATCCTAAACATTTTTGCTGAAACACTGGTAGGCAGTACTGAATTTCATACAACTTACTAGAAGTAGTCGCCTATGGAAAAGAGTAAGTATATAACCATTTTTAGACAGTATGGCAGTGAAACCTCAAATGGGAAATAAACCGCTCAGAAACTTTGTTTTAAGAAGTTGTTCCTTCGACGAAACCTTTTAGAAAAATGTTGAAAAGGAGAGACGACAATGGACATCATAAATCTAAGACGTTCTGCCTACGTAAATAGCTGAAAGAAATGATCACGAAAAACAAAAAAATATCTAACGGTCAGTAACGCAACATATCAGACATACGACACTATATTTAAGCCCCGTTTTCGCATCCGTTCAAAACATGAAGAAGACACACCGCTGACTTTCTTGCATTAAAGCAGAAGTTTTCACCGCTTCAAAGTTTAAAGTTTCCCGCTGAACATGAACACAAAAGGCTTCCATTTTTCAGTATGATTAAAGACATGAGTAAATTTTAAAATATGATGACTGAACTAAAACTAACTAGATACAAAACTATGAAGAAAGGCATATGCAATCAATGCGAACCACACATGATGAAAATATCATAAAACAGTGTCATACAGCATACCACAGAACCAACGTTAAAAAAGAGTATTTACAGTGCACATAGAGAATATCTTTTCCATCATTCCAGAATCATAAGCAAGAATCGAGAAGTGTAGGTGACCTGTCCTGAGGCAGAGAAGTCTGCTGTTCAAAACGAATCAGAATAACTAGGTACGGCGACAATTTAAACAGGTTTCAAGTGAAGAAAATACGCGCAGAACCTAAGAGATATTTCGGGTTCAAAAGCATGGAGTATGCAATAGGCAAATATACTCGCCTCATCACAGTACCGTCGGTTAGGTTAACAGTGTTTTTTTAATTACCTCTACCAGTTGTTACACAGTCGCCCCACTCAGGGCTGTGGTTATATTGTTCACCACTATTTGGTCTTCAGATTTCATGCTCATTTCGCAGCTAACACAAAATATGATAGATCTACCCTTGCTTTTGAAAAACGAACTCGGATCCATTTAATCAGGTCTCTGCAAAGAATATATATAAAATGTGATACCATTCACTACCAATATTTAGATTAACCATATTCTGAAGAATACGTTTAGCCCGAAAAACAACAGATAACTTGTCTTTCGTTGTGTGGTAGAGCAACGACAAATATAAGCATTCATTTCAACTATTTCGTTAATTTTTGGCAGGAAAGAAGCAGCACTACGGGAGAGTACAGAAAACCTGTTGCTACTTACAAACTGGCATCGATCAAATTCCATTGAACTGTTTATCGCTGAACCTGCCAAAAATTCAAGAAAGTCAAGCGGACACGACGTTGTATCACCTGAAATGAACAACGCACAGTGGTGACCCTCCGAGCCCAATGATGATGAGACAGCATGATAACTAATTATGTGTACTTCTATGAACCGAGCTTTGGAGACAGCAAATGTTTTGGATTTTGTGAAACGAATAGAACGGTATCACAACACAGTGGAACGTGATTTCTTAACAAACAGTGGGGTGTAAACAATCACAAGGTGAGGTATTCTCATCACAAAGTTGTCTGCAAAAAGCTACGTAAAAAATGAGATGTATTTTAGAATAAACTGACAGACATGACGCGAAGCACCAAAAGAAGGGGTATAGCGCGAATACCTGAAGCAAAAACAATTCGAAAGTTCTCCTGCATCACCTCAGATCTCGATTGAACTCTTGTGCGGGATTGTAGAACACTGTACGATCAGGAAGCAACATTTTTGCTTTCCCCTCAACAACTGTCTCCCACTGTTCACTTTCCTTCGTACTCATTCTCCGGAAAACGTCCAAAAAAATTTTCTGACAGTTTCGTACACTTGTACGCCAGTACATCAAATTTCCCGAACTACCGTGCATTAAATCGACCTTACACGTCAAGCATGAGCCTTATGATCAAGAAAGATCCGATAAACCTCGATTGAAACAACTCAATGTCTGAAATGTAAACATTTTTTGAAATAATGAACTGATGCAATTTTCAACAAGCTGTGACAACAACTCGATAATATTTTACTAATCTGTGCTGAAAGATAAACATCGTTGTTATTTCTGAAAGATCCAATTAATGGAAGCCTTCTTGTGGCATCGAACCGTCTGCATCTTCGACTTTCACGATCGGTTCTCCTTGTGAGTCGTTGAGGAAAACGCGTTAGACAAAGCTTTAAACATTCCCGATTTTGTGCCATAGACTGAGCTTCTGCGGAAGACAACTGGAGTGTCGAACAAACTACTTCCATATATTTGCACCAAGAAATCTTCGCAGTCCCTTGGGCCAAGGGTCGATTTCGGTAGAAGCAGCTGCTTTGCCTTCCTTTCTAGAGGCATTGGGAATACATACCCAGAACATCGCAGATGAAACTCCTCAATCTATACAAGCAAAAGCTGTAAACCAAGAGTCTCCCGGATGTCTGTATCCCAGACCATGTCGATATACGTAAGGCCAGCAAC